TATTCATGCTTTTTGCCTGACTGGCATGTACTATTTTGTTTGTATCCTGTTGCATGAATTACAGCTAACAAGATATTAAAGACTTTTAGGGGTCGACTCAGCCTCTTAACAGAAATTAGTACCAGGAATATTCTTGTGGTAAATGGCGGCTGGTGCATAAGGCTGACAACCTTACCGCCATCTATTAGCCAATTGTCTAGAAAATGTGAGAACCTCAACATCTCACAACCCTATGGGCCTCCGTGTCCTGTTACAGGGATACCTTTACTTACTTACATGTTCATTAAGTGTTATTTTATTTCATATGTAGTAAACCAGGAATTTGTTTAATAAAACACAAGTGCAATGTTAGTAGATATTGATATAAGACCATGCGTTACAAGTCAGTGATTAATCGTGTATGTGAAGAACACCTGAAGATGACCCTTTAAGGGTCGAAACATGTAGTGTTGATTTTAAATCAGTCAATCAAAACATTTGTTGCGTTGACGGCTGAACACGTAAAAGGTCTTAATACTCGAGATGGTCCATTTGTTAAATAACAGAAACCATTTTAATTAACTGAAAGATAATATGTTCGTGTACTTACTGAGTTTATGATGGAGCAGTGCATGTTGAAGAATGTCGAAAGCATTACTAAAGTCAAAATAAATGGCGTGTTTTGAATTACGTTAACTTAATAGTAATATCGGTTTATATAAGCATAAAATGTGTTATAAAAATGCAGATAGGCTCTACGAAAATTAAATCTAAGGTTGTTTTATACATGTGTTGAAAGCTTGGATACGGAAAATATGTATTTACTCGCTGGTTTCTTAAGTTCGGTATCGAGTAATAAAAACTGATAGAAAACCGAGAACTGAGCACTTGTTTCAAGCATAGTTTTCTAGCAGCCAGCACACCATGTGACTCTCAAACATATAAGTTTCGTACCACCAATACGTCGAATCCGAGACCCCGGTTCACAGCATTATTGACTCAAGTCAGATTAGTAAATTTTACGAGCTGTAGACATATTATTAGGCGGATTTTTTAAATTTAGGTGGGTAAATTTTTAAACGCGAACTTCAGAAAAATATTAAAACTAAGATTTATTCTCATTAAAATATGTATGTAATATTTGTGCAGTTTTATGGGGGCATTTCATAGCATTAGCCAAACTCTTGTAATACTTCGGTGTGTAGGCGAGGGACGGAGGAAGGAATAGCAGGTAGCTAAAATCTAGATATTATAATATTATATTTAAAAATAAAATTTGTAAAATATAGATTATCTGATTAATGAGAATATTCCAAGATCAGGTACCGAGGTATGCCAGAAATATTCGGCTGGATCCAGGTGCCATGCTCACGACCGGTCCCATATGGGGGAGGACGTCAGCAGGGTCATTTGGCCTAGGGAAGCCGTGAATACACGCTTAGTTAGTTAAAAAAAATATGAAAATGTGAGAATTCCATTTAATTGGGTTGTCTACTTATTATTCTCTGCTTTTCGTATGCATTGTTTAGATAATTCCAAATTTGAAAAGCATTGCATTGTCGTCGTCCCTCTCCCCAGTTGCGTTATTCTTCTCAAGGTGAATAGCCATGTATACATTTTAATAGTACAAAAGTATGTTTCATATAATTTGTAGTATCATGTATTTTTAACTTTAAATTAGTGCAGTAGAACCTCGCTTTTCAAGTCTCATTTTAATCTGTCATTTATTATCCGTCAATTCGAAATTATTTTCCTTTAAGATTTTTGTGGAACAAAGTATGGCTAGTGATTGATGTGGAACAAATTAAATATATTTATATGGCTTTCGGTGTAGGCTGGGAGCCCCACGTATGTCATTGGCCTGGGCTCCCTCTCACTTCTTTCAGTCCCTGAATAAGACAGGCCCTGGGCTAAAATTTCGGGTTCTTGTTTGCTTGACTGGTACAGTACTGGAGCGGGCTCAGACATGGCTCAGGGGCTTCATTGTTGCTTTATTTTACTGGAGCGTAATTTTATTCATATGTCGGAAACAGTGCTTCTTTACTTCTCCTGCATCTTGCAAATCTAAAACTGTATTCATAAATGGGCTGTGTTAATGTAGTGTAGAAGTGGATGAATGAAGCCTAGGGAATTATGTTGTGATTACAGAGGAAGTGAAATTTGTTTATAGTGACCTTGCCTCTGTATTTCTGTTTTTGTATATGATGTATTTCAGTCATTTCTGACGCAACACACCAGTTTTATCCTACTTTCGTAAAGTAGGCTTATGCGATCTCCATCTTTCCCGCCCCCAAAATAACTTCTGAATACCTGAAACAGTCTTTATGAAATTTATCATGTTTATCATGACAACTAAGCCCATCTGAACGGCGCAATTTCTAAATTTCTCCCGCCAGTCTATGTGTCTGTATATCCCTCGTATCTTTGCAAGGCAATGGCTCAGTTAATTGTGTGCCACATTTTGGTGATACGCAACGGCTCGGCAAACACGTTTCCGTTGCAACGAATACACGCAACAATAGAAGAATTGTTGACCGCGTCATCTTCAATGCGGTCCGTATCTTACCAAAGGAGGGTCTGAGGCTCTGCCAATATGCCCATACTGTTGCTAGGTAAGAACTCGATAAAGATGTACCCGGGGCAACGAAAATTTCTTGGAGGCGTCGTGTCGTATCAAAGGAAAATAAGCTATTAGCTTTTTCCATAACTTTTTGTTCTTTACTGATTTGCCATATAGGAACTTGAAGATGACTATTTTCTTTGTTGCTAGTGGGGTGGTACTAAGTACTTTATACTGCGGCCACTTCTGGCCTATTGTACCAGCCCCAGATGATAGATGAGGGTGTTTGTGGAGCAGTTGGTGGAATAAAGATTGGCAGGGGAAACCGAAGTACTCGGAGAAAACCTGCTCCAGCGCCACTTTGTCCATCACAAATCCCACTTGACCAGACCCGGGATCGAACCCGAGCCTCCGCGGTGGAAAGCCAGCGACTAACCGCTTGAGCTATGGTGCGGCCTGAAGATGACTATTTAGTAATCGAAACATGTTCTTATAAATAATTAGGCCTATGTTTGACGAGCATTGTAGTGATAACATTGCGTCGTTATCAGTAAACAGTTGTGCGAAGTCAAAGCCACAGACAGGCATAGGCCTATCGTATACAAGATATAACATGACAGGATATGTTTCCCTCTGTCCCATTTCAAAGCGTGTGCTGAGGGGGGTAAGGGCGGTAAGGACTGAGCACAGTATGACCTAAAAGTAGTGTTCTTGTTCTCATATTCAGTAGACCTAATCTTAAGGTGATTCACATTAGGCCGCAAACGTAAAGTCACAGAACGGTGCGTCACAGAAATTTCAGTTTTGTAGGTGTTCACCTCATAAGCAACATGAAAGTTCCAAAGCGGTTGTAATTTGTTCTTCAGCATCTCAGCAAAGAATACATTTAGATTATAGAATTCCAAACGTTTAGAAACTGGTGAAACAAGTAGGCGTGATTAGGAACTATTGTTCTACATACGGATGAGGGGGTGTCTAGTAGAATCTACTTCTAAGCGCAGAATGATTTCGGTGCGCATGTTGTCATAACACAAATATTTATGTTACACAAGTTCAGTTAATTTTCATTATTTATTGTCAAAGATTAAACTTCGGAAGTATGAACGGCTTACCTCTATCTAGTGCCCAAGTCCAAGAAGAAAATGCACCATTAACATCCCTCACGCCTTCAAAAAATTCTGTCGCTAAGTGACCATGAAATCTATAATTTTCTTCCTCTAACACATGTTAACTCTACTAGTGCATATCAAAGACAAGAAAGAAAGTCTTTACTTTTTTCTTTTCTTTCATCCTCTTTCATCATCACCTCCTTCCCTTCTTTCTCTCTCTGTGCTTTCCCATCCCGTTTATTTGGTCGTCTTCTCGTCAATCCTCTCGCCCCGATTCCTACAGTCATTTATTCATTTAATACCTTCAGTTCCTTCCTTCTTTCCTTTGTATTCTTTTTCCGTCTCCTTGGCATGTCCATCCTATCCGTCACTGCCGGTCATTCCTCTTTCACATACAATACTTCCGGCGACAGAAGCTAATTTGCGCTTTCTTCGTATTGTAACAAAGGCGCATTTGGTTTTCCCCTAACGTTACAACTGACTTGTCATTCATCTGTAGACGTTTATGTTGTCCTTGTTAATAAAAAACGAGTAAATTTTTCAGCGGAGTTAATTTTTCCTTATATTCTGGGCCTTATTTTTTTAATGTGGCTCCTAGATTTGTGGGAAATGTGTACAGACCTGCTTTCCCTCTCACATATGTCTTCATTGTGAGGTAATTAATTAAGCACATTTACGATTTTACCTTAATTTTAATTTCAAAAGAATTGTCGAAAGACATGAGTTTTCTGTGACGTCGGCGTTTGCTCGACCATCAGACCAGAAATAGAGAACCAGAACATTCACAACACATACAAATATCCCTCTCGATGATGTTCTACTTCGTGACCTTTCCGAAAATCGTGTAAAACTGCATTAAATAATATTTTGGTGTTACAGGAATGGTCCGTTTCTTGACGACTTTCCCTATAATGTGAATCGGCCTTCATTGGTCCCCTCCTCTCTTGCTCCAGGGATACCTATGAGCCCTGTGAGAGTCAATAACAAAGCAGAAATATCTTTGACACCGATCCCTCTAACATGAACACGGTGATTGATACAAGATATACGATTCTTGTGGTGGTGACTACGATGATTAAAATCTTCAAGACGTGACTCTGTGTTATATGGTAGATTATTACCGTGAAGCTGGAGACAGCACGTTCTTCCGAAACTTCTGTAACGATCGACCAAACTACACACTGCCATATCCAAGGCTCCAGTAATCTTCACGGTGATTGATACATATTATATTCTGTGTCCTACAACATGCACCATAATGAAATATCTGACTAGTCTAACGACTTTGGAGTTACGTCACTCATTTACTTTTCGTGGTCCAAAGGGGAAGCGCGCTGTGTAGTCTCATTCCCTTCTGGGTGATCTTTGGGGAAAGTGGTACGTCTTGCGGAGCAACAAACCCCCCATAAAACGAAGACGGCTAAGAACCCACATCCAGTGTAAGTACTTTTCCTTTTTCACTTGAAGTATTCCATGTCAGATACTCTTAAATTTACATAAGATTATGTTTCTATTCTGGATTTTTATAGTTTTACATTGGGTGCTGACATATTTTACTCATTTAAAATTTCTTTGACATTTGTGAAGCGTGATATTAGTGGGATTAAAGCTAGGTTAACTTCTTTAAAAATCTGCTGGAAGTTTCGAGAAATATAGGTAAAATAAAGTAACATCGATTAGATGTTTAAATTGGCACTATACGTTCCGACAAGTTTCTGAAATACTTGTCTCGGTTTTAGGCAACATTCTTGTGTAGAGTAAAATGTGACTGCAACTATAAATTTGTCCTACCTCTGGGATTTTCCTTATCTGTTCTTGAACTGGTTATTTCCATTGCAGTTTCTGGTATCTTCGAATACTGAGATTACACTCAATAATTCGTGCAATGGTTAGCGGGATTCTTATAATATTACAGTTAAGAAAATCCAGCGAGTGGCAGAGAAGAAATTTAAAACGCAGCTAAATTAATTTCGGGGATAGTCAAATTGAAATCCCCTAAAATTACACGTAATTCTACGTGATTTTGTATTCAGCAAATCTGTGTATGTGACGGAACTTATCGCATGCAATATTTTATTACCGAGTCATTTTTTAAAAGGCCCAGGTATACTTAACCTGTAGCTTAGTAAAATGAGGATATCTCCGAAGGACAGCAAAGCAAAGAAATTATGATACAGGTCACCAATGGGAATGGATAGTGGAACGTTCTAGAATTGCATTCGAAGGATATTCTGTTCGAATATCAGCCAGAATACTGGCTATCCGGTCTTGAGATTTTCGTGGATTTCCTCAGCCCCGTCAATGAAATGCAGGCATAATACTTGGATTAGTCTAGGACAGCTTGCTTCCCAGTTCCTTCCAATTCATCTTCCATCTGCCAGCTTACCATTTGACGCTATACAGTCTGGCCACTACTAGCGTCGTAAGAGCCCAATTCGCCCTGCCACAAAACAGTATTTTTTCTGCGGCCCCAGGAAAGAGTTTCATGGCTTCCTGGAGAACTCTGGCGCTCACTGCAGAGAGAATTGCTTCTAACAGTCGAATAGCTCTAGATACCATCAATTTGGTCGTCTCAAATAAAAGTAAATGACGGGGACTGTGGTTCGCATTTTCTTGTCATGTATTGACTGTAGAACGCTGCAATAGGTCTGCAGGCGTTTAATGTCGAATCATATTTTTTTTTTTGTTAAATCTAAGCCTAAAATGCATTGCTGTTTCCGTTGAAGTACGTTGAATGCTTGTCTGAGTAGAAATATAGGACTTACATTGTGCACCATACTGATTCTCTTTTATGTCTAATTGCATACGCATTTGAATTGATAAACGTGTGCAACGGTGGTGGTACTCGTAGCTTCTATACCCGAACATTATGGAAGAGGTATTATTTTCTCATTGTTCGCAGGAATTTTATGCATAAATGTGTATTATAAAGTAAATTGTCAAAATGTATTAAAAGACTAGCATAGTGGACAAATCTTTTATTTTTTGGTTTGATTGTGTATTTGGTAAGAATTCAGAATATACAGCCGGACGCCACTTATCTTCCACGCTCCACTCACAATAAGTAAACATCGTGTATTTTAATGGACAGCGGAAATTTACAGGGCACATTTAACATACTGATAAACCGGGTGGATTGAGAAAATATCTTGAAAATTTGCAACAATAATGGTGACCGAGATTTTTGGCGTAATCAGATTATACAAAAGACTGATTATCATTAATTTCCCTTCACATTTAGCCATACATACCCAGCAGTACATAAGTGAAAAATTTTCCATACGCGTTCTTACGATTAGGCCACTGTAGATCCTTTTATATTATGATATATAACATTGTAATTTTACGTAAGCTAGTGCATAAAATTATGTAGGTGCGCCTTCAGAATTTAAAATGCATGCTGCCGTATAATGTGCACGAAAGATAAAATTTTGAATTTCTACTGGTTTAGAATTTGACATAAATCACAATTTTTCTCTCCCCGGAGTCAAATCTGTTTTGCGTAAATAATTCGAAAATAATAAGGGTGGGTTTCTTGAAACTTCTTAGCATGAAAAGCAAACGGAGCTTGCGACATACTAAGCAAAGCTCTTCACGAAATAACATAATTAACAAGCGGAGATGCGACTGAAGTCTCATTTCATCCTATTGAATTTATGTTATTTTTCATATAGTAATATTTTCGGAATTCAGTGTTGTATTCTTTTTCAAATATGAGGTCTTCTTGATAGGCTTTAATGAAAACAAATCGTGTTATTAATGTTTTACTTTGTTATTTCAGTTTCTAGCTTTGTCACGATGTGTGACGTTTCCTAAACTCTGGTTTCTAGCCTTTTAAAATTTTCCTTCATCGGTATTTACGCGATAGAAAATGTAAATATTTTGAGAAACAAGGTCATCGTTACACATACGTATTAGTCTCTCTATTCTCCCGACCCTCTTCAAACATTTATCTTGTTTTGTGTCCCTTCGTATGCTATTTTTATGTGGATTCCTTAAGGTGTCTTAATTATTCTTGGTGCCTTGATTTCTCGATACTTTATGGCTATCGTGTCTTACTTGAAGATATGTTTTGGTCCTGTAGCAGTATTACGTATACCTAGCGTCGATTCGACTCAATGTTTTGGTTCTTTAGCAGTATTACGTATACCTAGCGTCGATTCGACTCCATGTTTTGGTTCTTTAGCAGTATTACCTATACCTAGCGTCGATTCGACTCCATGTTTTGGTTCTTTAGCAGTATTACGTATAACTAGTTTCGAGCCTGTTTTCTTCAAGGGCAAAAATTAGAAGGAAAAGAACGCACTATTCCGTGACAAAAAAATTCGAAACTAAAGGATATAAGAGTAACAACAACACGGGAACAGAATGATAAACTAAAATAAAGGATTAATGTAAGGTTATATTTTAGCGTCCTGTTGTCCTTATCATAATTGACAAATACGGACTTTTTAAATACTTTTTAAATGGTGTTATGAAAATATATGAGGGCAGGCAATGCAATAGATTGACGTAATTTGGACACCTGATGATGGCACTATGTTGCCGAAACATGTTGTGAAGTGACAGGTGAAATTGAGTGTACTACAAGACGGCCACTGTATACATATAATGGATGGTTAATGTAAGAATTATTTCTTAGTTTGCAACTCTTAACACCATTTTAATTATGTTTAAAATCTAAAGGATGAAGTGTTAACAAGGCGTTCTAAGACCGGAGGTCGTGAGTGATGAAACATAGATGTGAACTGGAGTTGTCTTCAGTGAAAATGAAGCGTGGGGTAAAAAGTTAATAAAATAAAATTAGGAACATCCAGAATATTAAAGTTGTATTTGAGGGTTTGTACGAGTATGTATTTGAAAGACTGAATTTATCGAGGCCTAGAGTGGAGTATTCAAGAAAGAAGAGTTCAAAATGTGATGCGGCATGTTTCCACCGTTAATGAAACATAAACATGAGCTGCAGCTATGTTCAAATTGTTATTTGAGACGATTTTATATTTTCCAACGATTTGGTCTTTCCGGAAAGTTTCTGAGAGAAGATGAAATCCATTTGACAAACTGAAATCGGCTGTATAATTTTATATTAATTTTGGTAATTTTCCCCCAGTGACAATGGATTTAGTGTGTTAACTGAAGGAAACCGAGCAAATATATTCTTGGAAAACCCACACAATGAACTTCCAAATTAAAAGATTGAAAAGCATGTTTATATATTTTTTTTTCAGAAAGAAAAGATGCTTTTAGATATTTCCGGAACGTTAATTAAATTCTAAAGGGTTCTGATGATGGTGAATAACACTCAGAATTACTGGGATTTTGAATTTTTCCCATCGTTCGGAAAAAGTCCCAAAACCCAGTAATTCTGAGGATTCATTCAACTGCCTAATCTGAGAACACTAGATGAAACAATATATTTTTACCTTATCATGTAGTATGAAAAATTGCTGTGACAGCGAGAAAGAAAATCTCTAGATTTCAAGGGATTTCCACGTTTCGAGTATTCATGAAAAAATACTTTTGGAATGCCGTCTACTTGTCTTCGCCTCAATAGTGCCTATAAATCTGGACGAATTTTATTTATATAGAACCACCATAGGTCGGTGCACGGCATACATGAACATTGTAATTAGAAATAAAAAAGAAATTGACTATTTTCTCGAAAACTCTTCAAACGATATTTGTTAAATTTCAGTAATTTGTGGAGCCATATCTTTAAATGTAGCTGCATCAGTGGTACTTTCAGAAAATAGTTATCCCTCTAGAAATTTAAAGATGAAATATCTATTTTCTCGAAAACTTCTGGATCAATTTTTATTAAATTCTAACCATTTATAGAGGCAGTTGACCCAAATAAAATATGTAGGTCAAAGCAACTTGAAGGAATTCGAATAAAGGGCACCCTCTCTGAGCTTAATCACGAAATATCATTTTCCCAATATTGGATCTAAATGATTTTTATTTAAAAACAATAGTTTGTAGTGGTGGTAGTCCAAATAGAATTAATATCAATAGACCCAAGCATATTTCTTAAAGCGGAAAGCTGTGATTCATTAAGCGCATGAGAAGAAGTATGTTTAGTGTTTTTACACCCATTTCTTTTAGACGTGCCCAAGTACTAAATTAACCCATTGACGCGACTAGTCGCGATCGGCTAGCCACTCTTTGTCGCGCGCGTCCGTTATATTAGTGTACTGTATATGGTGCATCACACTAAAGCTGCCGAGTCGCTCGTGGCCAATTATTCAACTGCGGTTTAGGCAGATAACCCACTGACGCGGCTAGCCGTTCGCGACTACTCGTGTCAGTGGGTTATCAGCCTTAAAGATGAGATCTGATTTTTTAGCTAATTTGCAAAAAAAAAAAAAATTGTAGAAACTCTTTTAGTATCTCCGCCATGCATACATATGTCCGTCTGCGTGCATGTAATAACTCGAGAAACGCTACATGGATTTTCATGAAATCTGATATGGGATAGTTTTACTGAGATCTGTAAACGTATTATTTGGCGTCGCGAGCTTAACACGATACGAAGTTCAAACAATATATATTATATGTCCTTGATCTTGTTCTTTCTACACTACATGTTTCGGCCTCTATCGGCCATCATCAGGTGTATATTCTTAACGTTGTTGCCACACTGAACCCAGTCTAAAATTTAACATTTAAAAACACAATGTCACATTCTTCGTATTATCAACGTCTACATCGTTGATATATGTCTGGTATGTAGATTATGTTGCACACGTCAAATTTGTTATTCTTGTAGTAGCANAAATAACACCTGTACAGTGTGAAAACAAGAACTAGCCGCTCCAGCACTTAGACATAGGGCGAGTAACCCTAAGAATTTTAAATTTTAAATTTAAAATTTAGTGAAAAATTTTAAAAGGTTTTAAAACATCATAACTAAAGATTTTTAGAGTGCTACTACAAGAATAACAAATTTGACGTGTGCAACATAATCTACATACCAGACATATATCAACGATGTAGACGTTGATAATACGAAGAATGTGACATTGTGTTTTTAAATGTTAAATTTTAGACTGGGTTCAGTGTGGCAACAACGTTAAGAATATACACCTGATGATGGCCGATAGAGGCCGAAACATGTAGTGTAGAAAGAACAAGATCAAGGACATATAATATATATTGTTTGCACTTGGGACGGAGTTTGTATCATTTATCGTGTAGAGTGCAACAGGATGCTTAAATATAATACGATACGAAGTTATCGGAGAACAAAATATTTCGGACAAGAGTTGTAGATAAACTGAAATATATTTTATGCTCACTACACATTTCTGTGCAAGTCGTACGGTTTTAGTTGTATTTGCCATGAATAATTTTCCTAATTCATTTTAAGCTCCACTTTTCTTCAAAATATGGTGACGCATTTTGGCGCACCGCAGTAAATAGTGAATGCTGGAGCGCAGGTGAGTTACAAATGTAGAGATATAAGAGCATAACGTCAAGCATATGGATTTGGGTCTTTTTGGACCATTTTGAGGTTCACTTTAGAGTCCAACTTAACTTATGTGTGAATATTAGTCTTGTAACAGATTTTGACTAAACGTTATGTATGATAAATTGTATTAATATTTACATGCATAAGTTCCATTCAGTTCATTTGAAAAAAAAAAAGTATTTTATAAAAGAGCCAAAGTTAACTATTGTTCAGAGTCCTTTAATATATTTTGATGAGATTATACATACAGATATTTTTTGCTACGAATAGGCCTGCTTCCAAGTACAATTTTCAGTAATTCGTTTGAAGTGCTATTTACATGAAAGTGTAAATGAATTTTTACTTATGGTTCGCTCAATAGATAAGACAATTGAGGTGCAAGAATTATTAAAAGCAGACATGCAGCCTTTTGTGCGTGCTTCACTTTAAAGCCCACAATAATGTACGTACAGTATGGGCATAACTTACAAAGTGAGAGAAGTCTATTGAACGAACATCATGAAGTTAGATGCTTTAGTTTTGTAATATAATGCTGGTGATGATAAAATGATAATGCAGTGACTATAAAATAAGACGTGACGATAAGATGATAATGCAGTGATGACGAAACGACGATAAAAGAATGACGCTGAAATGTAGCAATACAATGATTATAAAATATAGTGATATAGTAAAATGAAAATACAGTGATATGACGATAATATACAGTGATAAAATAATATTACGATTGTGATGATGAAGTATGATAGATATTCTCTGTAACATGTAAAACTGCCTGATTTTAAGCATATTATCTAGCAACTGAGCACAAAAATGTAAACAGCTTCTGCTGCAGTTGCATTGCCTCGTAGATCATATTCGCAGTTTTCAGCCTATTGCGTATACAGAGATATTGGGTTTTCGGACTTTATCCATCGTCCTGGTTTTAAGATAACTAAGAAAAACACGACGTTTCGGAAACTGGATCTGTTTCCGTTTTGAGGATGGAAA